AGCCAGTACAACCTGACAACGAGAAAATGGGTGACGAATTAGAAGTCCAAGTTAAAACTGAAAAAGGAGACTACACGGCTCGCATTCCATCGCAAGGGACGACACGTGTTGTCTTGCCTGAAACAAGTAAAAAATCAGGAACCACTCGCAATTTAAGAGACAGAGCTAAAATTAAGAAACCAGATAGATATCAAGCTCATGCCATTTATGCAGACAAAGAACCTTCAACTTATAAAGAAGCCGTTGAGTCTAAAGAGAAGGAAGAATGGATAAAGGCAATGCAAGATGAGATTGAAAGTCATAAGAAAAATGGGACTTGGAAATACGTGAAGAGGCCAGCCAATGCAGGATTGCTTGACAGTAAATGGGTATACAAGCTTAAACGTAAAATGGATGGAACAATTGATCGATTTAAAGCCCGGCTTGTTATACGAGGGCATAGACAGAAAGAAGGCGTCGACTATTTTGAGACATTCTCCGCCGTATCTCGGTACGAGTCCATAAGACTTCTACTAAGTATAGCTGCAGCAAAGAAAATGCATATCGCACAGCTGGATGTCCAGACAGCCTATCTCTACGGGATTCTAAAGGAGACCATATACATGTCACAACCTGAGGGTTTCCGCAATGGAGATGACTCCATCGTGTGCCTCCTGATCAAGGCTTTATATGGATTGAAACAGGCTGGAAGAACCTGGAATGAAACATTCACCGAATTTCTCGAGATATTCGACTTGCACCCATGTTACTGCGATCCCTGTATATTTGTTGGAGATGTTGATGCAATAATCACTTATCTCAGCTTATGGGTGGATGATTCACTGGTCATTGGAAAAGATAAAAATGCCGTGCAGAAGATCATCGATGCAATCAAATCCTACTTTGAAATAACGATAATGGAGCCCACAGCCTATGTTGGGATGCAAATAATCAGAGATGGAAATGATGGTTTACTTTTGTCACAACCTTTTTACATCCGTAACCTGCTTGAAAAGTACAATATGCTGGAGTGCAACCCGACGAATGTGCCGATGCAACCTCATGCAGGAGAACTCGTCCCAGCCGCAACAATAAACGAGACCCTTCCGTATCGACAGCTCGTTGGATCATTAATTTACCTAGCCAAGTGCACACGCCCTGACATCTCATATGCAGTGTCCCGCCTGTCTCAGTTTATGCACACATACGACGAAACTCACTGGAAAGCTGCAAAGCAAGTCCTCCGCTATTTAAAAGGCACCGAGGAACTCGGAATCAAATACAAACCGTGTGAGGATATGATTCTCAGGGGATATACAGATGCAGATTATGCTTCCGACAAGATGGATAGAAAATCTACAACAGGTTTTGTCTTCATGCTAAATGACTGATTATTTCATGGTCAAGCCAAAAGCAACCCATTGTCTCAATGTCATCAATGGAAAGTGAATATATATCTCTGGAGCGCGTGAAGCCGTTTGGTTACGACGATTTCTAGAAGAATTAGGATTCCCACAAGAGTCCCCAACAATAATTCATGTTGACAACCAGAGTGCAATAAAATTGGTCAAAAATCCAGAGATGCACTCAAGATCCAGGCACATCGATGTCCGGTACCACTACACAAGAGAGCTAGTTAGTACAGGACAGTTGGCAATTGAATATGTACATACCAGTGAACAAATTGCAGATGGATTAACTAAGCCACTACTGAAGACCCAGCATTTCAAGATGAGACACGATCTCAGTATGGAAAGAAATGAGACAAAGGAGAGCAAGGACAACCCAACTAAAGTAAAGAGAGGTCCCCTCCAAGCCAACTTCTCACTGATGAGCCTTCTCACCATCCTTCTTATGTTTATTACGCAAGCTTGTGGGGTGACACATCAGAATGCGATCCCTTTACTATGGAAAAAGAGTCCAATCCCAGTTACAACGGGATATAACCAAGTCCACTTGCTCGTCAAATTCATGAACCCGTGCGAAATTTTAACACAGGATCTACTCCATAAGGATTTAAGTGCCTATGCAACCGAGAAATGTAACAAAATATACGACGAAATGTTCCTGGATGAGCTAGAAAAAATGTGCCCTAAAAGAAAATTCTCCGATCATATTAATTCGCGACATACCAGAGAGATTGGACAAAGAGTGAAGAGAGTCCTCCCATTACTTGCAGTTGGAGTAATAATTGGTGTGACTGTCCTTGTAGCCGGCTTATCAGTTGGTGGAGCAATCAATTCGTTTGTTCAAACTGGAAGAATCTCTGCTTTGCAAGGAACAGTAGCGGAACAAAGAGAGATGCTGGATGAATTGGAACGTCGCGTGGAAATATCGGAAAGAGAGATTGTGAAGCTTAAGGTTAGCCTAAATGCTACACTAGAACAGCTTCAGCTACATCAGCTTGATCACGACGAACTCAAGGGAAAATCCATTGACACCAATTTCGCAATTGCCTACCTTACCAGTCGCCTCATGATAGTCAGCTTCGCACAATCTCAAAAGTGCGAAATATCAGATGACAGAACAAAGCTGTATGTGGACTTGCACAGCAACTGAAATTAACAAAGATTTGCAACTCATCGAGGCAGACTCCTTCGATCTCAAAGTTGAAAGGAAGAATGAAACCTGCGTTCTAAAGTACAAGGGACCCCATAATGCCATCCTTTCTACGAAAGATGACTGCGTATACTCCATCAATGTTAAGGAGCCTACAACCCCCGACCTAATTGTTTCGCCCACTCGAGGATGCACGCCAACAGCGAAAACAAAGAACTCCAATCACTTTGACATAGACCACTGTTATGACAAGAACCTTGCTGAACCATGGGATTTTGTACAAATCAAACTACACCATGGACAATATCATATCTACTGCCCTGGGTCCAATATTACCATTGAGAGGAAGCTGCAACAATGCCCTGCTAGCGTGTTCATCCTTCCAATGAATGCTAATTTTAAAATAAATGATATTGAATTTTCAGGAACTGAATCCAGCCTTGTTCACCAAGAGGTAGTCGACCCACTATTCACGATGAAAGCCAACTGGCACTTGCAGCCTAGTTTCAACTGGACCAGTCTGATGATCAATGGTTCCACTGACGAAGGAGGGTCAATCCACTACCACACAAGCAATGAACCAGCCTGGTCAACAATGGAATGGATCTTAACCCTTTGCATACTAATAATAGTTGCTCAAGCCACTCTTTGTGTTTTCCTTTTTCTGAAAAGCCGGCCAAATGTAATTTCGGTTAGGGCAAATCCAGTGGAAACTGCCGATATTGAACTTTAAAAATTGAGGGATGATGTTAAAATATGCATGTTAACAAAGTTTTCCATATTTATCAATTTTTAAGTTTGTCGACTTTTATGAGGGCTGAGCATTTTCCAACCTTTTTCCCAGGACAAGGGATTAAAAGGGTCCTTTTGTTTTTATGCCTCATTAGAAGGGACACTTCGTTTGAGCATAACTCTGCGTAGTTTGTATGGTCACTTCTGACCACATATTATTACATATGCATGAATGTCTCCTATGTACTGTCAAAACCTTAAAACCAAGTTGTTTAATAAAAATCACCATCAGTCTAAAAATATCTTCCAGCGAGATCATTTTTACTTTCAAAGAATTTGTTGTTCAAGGTCAATTTGTTGAATTAGTCACGTTAAATTAAGAAGATGAATATGTCGATTTCAACGAGATTTAGCCATAAATGGTGACCTCCGTCTTGTTCTGACCGGAAAAATACATAAAATATTTGGTTAAGGTGGCATTATATGCGCCAGTATGCGGGTTTTTAATTTGAATTATTTTGTCTCTTCTTTCCCTTCTTCTATATATTCAAATCGCGATTTTGAAACTTATTCATGTCTGTGGGTTTTTTTAATGAGATAAGATTTTAAGATTTTAATGCACCTAAAAATCGATAATTTTTAGGTTTACAAAATTGCGACTAAAAAATTTTGATTTTTTTCTTGCATGAGGTTATAAATATGAAATAGATGACAAATGATCAGTTAAAACCAAACATTTTGTCATTTAAGAAAAAAATCATAATTCTATTTTGTTTGAATTTGAAGACAAATTCATGGATTCTGAGGACATTATTTATTGTAAATATGACACTAGCTTTCGGAATGCTTATTCCTTCATCAGGTCTTTACAAATTCGATAATTAATTGAAAAAACATGTACATCATTTTTCCGTAATTTTGGATATGAGTATACATTATGTAGCAACTAAGTTACAGGACCAAATTTCAAAAAATTCACAAGTGTTGAGCACCATATACTGTTGACGTTCATTCCTTTAGATGAGTTCATGATATTAGTTGAGCTTCTGATTAGTAGGGCTTCCTTGAACTTTCTTTGAAATTTTCTTGGTTCCTTCATAATCATTTTCAGAGAGGTTGTGTCAATCTGATGGTATTCTTCATTTGAAATCCTTTTGGGATGATGTTTAGTTTCCTACATCTTGTAAGAAATATGATGTGATTATGCAGAGTTGCTTGTTTTTTGGTAATTTGTTCTAATTTTCGAACTTGGGCTACAGCTTCCCCATTAAGCTTTTGTAGTTTTGTTATTATTGACTTCCATCCGCTGTTATAATTTGAAGACAATTAAATCATAATTCTAACTGCAAACTTTGCAGACTCCTAACTTTGCAAACCTAAAAATTAGCGATTTTTAGGTTCATTAAAATCTTCATATTTTAAAAAACCAAGGGAGATGAATAGGTTTCGAAACCGTCATATGAATGCGTGGAGGAAAGGATAGGTGAGACACAGCAATTCAAACTCAAACCCCACATACAAGTACACATTAACAATAAATATCTTGCATATTTTTCGAGCTTCGATATTAACAGATCTTGAATCTCCTCAAAAGCCGTTGATTCGATGAGATTCTGCCTAAAAATACTTTGTTTTTATGCAGCTCAAATTTTAATATTAAGTTTAAGGAAATAGTGCAACAAAAACATATCCAAGATTTTTTAAATATTATTTTTCCAGCGTGACAAAAAATGTCGTCCCTAGACGAGGTCAAATTAGAAAGCTTCCTAGGCTGGGGATCATTCGGGCTTGTATTCTGCACAATTAACAAAGCAACCCGTGAAAAATTTGCTACCAAATTTATATATGAACTCGGACCTGACTATCGCGTTGAACGTGAAGCGCTACTTCTTGGAAAACCACTGCATCGAAACATCGTCGCTGTTAAAAGCCTAACTCAAGAAACATTTCCATTCCGTGAACTCAACAAATTCATAAATTCAGTCGACATCAAAGATGAAGATGGGCAAAGGAGGAGAGAGTCGTTGCTCAAGTTGGCCATAGACTTCGATCCGTTGCCAATTTGTGTTATCAAAATGGAACTGCTCGGCGATAACTTGACCTGGATATCCATCCATTCCGTCGCTGGAATCAATGACCCAGGCTTACAGGCAGTTAAGCTGCAAATCATACAAGATCTTATGAACGGGTTGAAATTATTGCACGATAACAAAATTACTCATCGTGACGTTAAACCGGCTAACGCCCTGTTTGCATATTCTGGGCGTCCGGAACAATTTGTATTCCCGCTAAAAATAGGAGATTTTGGGTTAAGTCGAGAAATATTGGGAGAAGCGACAAAGGAGACTTTGACTGCGAGGCAAGGTACAAAGCTTTACCGTGCTCCGGAAGTCGATACGGGAAACTGCGGGCGGCAAGCTGATCTATATTCCTTGGGGCTGGTTATATTTGAACTTGTAATGCTATTCAAGGAAAAAGAAGAGAGGAACGATAAGTTCAAATTAGTAAAATGTCAAGACTATAGCGTACTAGATTCAGCCCAAATCATTCAGTTTGTATCAATTAACTTAAGGCCATTGATAATTCGAATGGTCCAACCGGAAGTGGTTCATCGTTTGACATCGATTCACGATGTACGCACATTTGTGGACCAAGCAGTCGGAGAGCTTAATTTAATGAACGCCAGCATGTATAACCCTGAAAAACTACCAAAGAAACTGGTGATCGACACTGTAGCACTTATGGGGCTTCTACAGGACCCAAATTCTCAAAGGTTTCTTAGCAACGTCACGTTCAAATCGTATCTGGGTGGTGGTTCGTTTGGGTTTGTTTACCAGACGCACAATTCTGTCATGAATAAGGACACTGCTGTGAAGGTGCTTGTACACAAGCAATCGGAAGGAGATTACCCGATTATGATTGCGCGGGAGACAGGCATAGCTGCATCACTAAATCATAAACACATCGTGAATGTGACTCAGACTCACAATGCAAAACTAACTGCATCAGAATATGAGAAACTGATGGGTAAGATTGCCATCCCTAGGATTAACAAAGAGCAGATTCGCGACACGCTGATACGCAGGGAAACTATAAGCCTTACTTTCATAGAGATGGAGCTTTGCGGTCAAACATTGCGGTCATGGCTGAACACCATGTGCAACGACCCATCGTTGGATCTAATTCTGGAAATGACTCAATTCCTAATTGTGCGCGGAATTCGTGAAGCTCTTGCATACTTGCACTCAAAAAACATTCTCCATCGTGACCTAAAACCAGAAAATGTTCTGTTTACATCTTCTGAGTTTAAGCTTCCAGTGAAAATTGGAGATTTTGGGTTATCCAGAATAATTGATTTCCATGAATCTACTTTAACTTCCAATGTCGGCACATATATGTACATGGCACCAGAAGTTCAAAAAGGTGAACGCTATGGAAAATCTTCGGATTTGTACAGTTTTGGCCTAATCATGCTCGAAGTGCTTGACTTAATTAAATTAAGTGCTCGATCAAAAATATTTAATCAAATTGTTTACGATCAGGAATTTGAGCTTGTTAAACAGTGTCATACAGTTATAATCAATTCTAAGGAGTTAATTATCTCACTAACTCGTAAAAAACCGGCTGATCGACTGAAGGACATTTCCGATGTGAAATTCATTACTGACTTGAACTAGCTGATGAGGCACAGCAAATCATATCAGTTGGACCACATATGTAACTTTAATTTTGCGAACGAGAATACTTAACATTAATCACATGAACATATTTAACTCCTAATCATTTCGTCTTACGGCAACAAACATCATCTTGTTTTTTAAGTCACCCAAATCGAGTTTAACCTAAATGGTTACTTCGATCTGCGTAATTAATAACCACATTTGTATTGATAAATGACACTGAACGATAGATGGATATTGCTTTTTCTTAGGTGAGGCTATGGTTACAGAAAAAATACCTAAGTAAGCATTCCATGACGGTCTGAAAAGTGACCACAGGCCATTATTTTTTCATTTCTCAACCGATTTTGATGAAATAAAAACCCAGAGTCATTTATGATGGTGCTTTATCATAATCGCTTTCTCTCGGTCCGGATTTCTGACCACGTATTTAGTTACTCAAGAAAAACCGTCGCTAGGGTCACTTTCTGGCTTATTATAAAAATGTGGATGAGGTGATCATCGCCACTTCATTAAAATAATGTAATAAATTCACTTATCTTTCATTTAAAATTGGGATGAACAAAATCGGTTGAGAAATGAAAAAGTTTTCCCTTTGACACAAAAAATATGTTGCATATGGTGGGAAGTAGCTTAAGGGGGCTGGTCACATGGCGATGGCAATAGTCGCTAAACTAGCACCTTGAATTAATTGAAAAAACAACAAATAAAAATTACTATTATGGTTGTCCTCTTCAGAAAGAGATCATTACTGGCCGGCGTATGCAAATGTCTGTATGACTCTACCGGCATGGTATTAATGAGCATTACATTTCTGGTAATGAAAATTTACCACACAGAAACAAATTTCTACGAATTCTGTATTACTATCAAATCTATACCAGTATGTAGTATGTATCTACATATATATGTATGCCTCTACCAGACTTTTTAGAGTGTGGTTAATTCATTTCGTTAATAACTAATTATCGTAATATTATCAATTAAAAGCTTAAAATAAACTAAACCTTAAAAAGGATAACTTAGGTGAGACTGGGGTACATATGCGATTAAAAGGATGAAATAACCCCCTCACTCCTCCCACACTGGAGAGAAGGTGTTGGTAAAATGAGCATCACCGCCTTGGGAATGATTTCTGAATTGTTCAAATATAATTAGAAGGATGATGTATCAAAATTTTGCATAAACACACCCCAAAAGTTGAAGGCTAATTAGTTGACTCTGGAGTGTATATTCAGGAAAATTAAATAACCCCCACCCCCACCTACACTTTGGAAAACCACCACCAAGTATCCTCCTTATTTTTCTTACCGAATACAATTCGTACTTACGTGGTACAATAACGCTGATAACAAATTAATACATATGAGTCAGGAACGATGACGCAATAGATTCGGAGTACTCAAATTTAATTTAATTGTGACAAATGCCGTGATATAAGTGCATACTGTATGCTTGAAAGATCATTTGTCCGTCATGGAATCATTCCCAAGGCGGTGATGCTCATTTTACCAACACCTTCTCTCCAGTGTGGGAAGAGTGAGGGGGTTATTTCATCCTTTTAATCGCATATGTACCCCAGTCTCACCTAAGTTATCCTTTTTAAGGTTTAGTTTATTAGTCAAGTCGTTTAGAATATGATTATGTTTAATTGAAATTTTCAACCCTAATCCTAATTTGTTACCTTCAAACTGGTCGGAAGCTATGAAGACTTTTGCATGTTTAAGATATATAAGTATTTATGTATGTATATCATTCATTATTACTATTGATTGTTAGCTCCTCGTTTAATTATGCATTCAAGTCATAGAATTATTACCTCTCTAAGAAACTTATTGTAGTACTTAAATATGTAGCTGTATCTAGAGTGTCGGACAGATGTCTACGTCCACATAGTCGCGTCAATTTCATTTTCAAATTGTCACTGAACTACTGAACCAATTTTCATCATTGATATATCAAATTCTCACAAATTTAACGTAATTTCATAGCACATTATTAGTTTTCCGCTAAAAAATTTATTTTAGGCCAGAGATGTATTTTAATTCAAAATGAAAACAATTGGATGGACAAAAGTCAACGTCCAGTAAGAGAAAACATACAAAAAAAACTGTAATTTATAAGGAATGTTATAACAATTAATTTTTAATATTTGGTTGGGCCTCCGTTCGCTTTAAGGACGGCTACAAGGCGTCGAGTCATAGAGTTTACCAAATTCTTGGTCACATCTTCAGAAATGGTTTCCCAAACTTCACGAATTCTGGATTTAAGGCCCGGAATTCCTGAAAAAGATTGTTTTCTTATTTCTCTTTCAATGTGGTCCCACAGATGCTCAATGGGATTCAAGTCTGGAGATTGGGGAGGCCATTCTAGCTTCGAAATTTTTTTTTCTTGAAGTATTCCATGGTGTACGTGGCAGAGTGTTTCGGATCGTTGTCTTGTTGGAAGACAAATCGTCGTCCAAGTCCAAGTTTTCGAACAGATTCCTGGATATTACGGTCAAGTATTCCCTGGTACCTGTATTGGTCCATAATTCCGTCAACAAATTCCATTTTTCCTGCCCCACTTGAAGCCATGCATCCCCACACCATTACCGACCCGCCGCCGTGCTTAACTGTGGGGTTGAGATTTTTTGGATTCAAAGCTTCTTTTGGATACCTCCACACTCTACGACGCCCATCTGACCCACAGACATTGAACTTTGACTCGTCAGTCCATAAAATATGTCCCAGAATGTTTGTGGCTTGGAAATGTGGTCTCTGGCAAACTTCACTCGTTTGGTTACATTCCTCGGTACAATAAGAGGCTTCCGGACTGCTCTGTGGGATTTCAAATTTCCCTTGTTCAGTGTTCTTTGTATGGTCCTAGGACTAACTTGTTTGTCGAACATCTCCTTGATCTCGGTAGATAGCTTTGGAGCACTAAGTGAGGGTGTAACGTTGACTTTGTTGAGCACGTAGCGTACTTCTCGGTGAGCCAAAATGGGTTTTCGACCACTTCTGACCTTGTTTTGGACTGAACCATTAGCTTTAAAGTTCTTAATGATTGTCTGGATGGTTGTCCTTGCTAATTTATACTTGGTCCATATTTGTCTCTGCGACAGCCCCCTTTTTGTCCACCCTTCCAGTCCTGAATGACAAGATCTCGAATAGCGATAGGAATTTCCTTGCGTGTCGACGCCATCATATTTTTCTGGAAGAAAATTATTTAAAAATTAATGCGGCATATGTTATTGATAGATTTATTAAGTTACCTGATTTTATAAATTGGAGAGATTTTTGTTGTTGACAATTAAAGTGAAGTGGACGTAGACTTTTGTCCGCTCAAATTTCATCCTCTCTCGCTCTGCACTATGATTCTCAGTTTTCCCAGAATTTTCAGAAATAACTCATATGTTTTATGAAATTACGTTAAATTTGTGAGAATTTGATATATCAATGATGAAAATTGGTTCAGTAGTTCAGTGACAATTTGAAAATGAAATTGACGCGACTATGTGGACGTAGACATCTGTCCGACACTGTATAGCATTAAACCAGAGTTCTCTGTTTAATTTGCAAATTTTCACATTTGCCGACTTCGTTACTACTGTAAATAAGAATTTTATTCTGGTCAACATTAATATTGATAATTGTACACAGAGTGGTATTATATTTAGTCAAATTTGAGGTGCATACACACATTAATATTTCGGTGCAAGTATATTTAAATCACAAGATCTGGAACAAATAAATAATTGCTTACTTCTACATCGATTTATTTTGTTTAAGATTTAAGAGCATCTTTCTAAATTAAATATACGAGCATGTGCATGAGCAAACTATTGTTTATTAACTATAGTTAATAAATTTATTTACACAAAAAAGTATTAGTTCGAAGGCGCTAAAAGTAAATATGGGTCTATCGTCCGGGAGGACGAATTCAAGAGTTTTAATAAAACCCTTGAAACCCTTTGAACTACGGTTAAAAGAGCTAAAAAACCTGACAGATCCCAAATAAATTCAAAACTGCATGAATTTCTGAGATCATCAGAAAGTTCAAATTCTATTACAAACATAAGAAATCCCAAAAGCGATGACAGGTTTTAATCCGTGGAAATGAGTGACCTCTCTGAAATGACGACTTTCTTCCTTTTGAAGGACAAGCTAAGATCTTCCCACGGAATGAAACCATTTTTTATCAAACGATCATTGTCGTCGTAACGAACCAAAAGTAATTTTAGTCACACATTTTTTACACAGGGAATAATAATCATGCTTAAGTCATGCAAGTATTTACAATTTGGACTACTTTAAATTCACAGGAATTGGATCACGAACGACATCCGGCTAGCACTCCGTCTTGACCAGAAGAAATTTAACCGTCCACTTTATACAAATTCCAATAATTACCAGAGGTGTCAAGATAGTGAAATAATTACTCCCAAAGCGAATCCTGATTGGTGCACAGGCCTTAATTTTCTTCCGTAAAACAAGATAACCTGCAATGCCGCTACGTTTCGCGAGGTTCTGCACGAATTGGATCGAAACTCTGTTCACCTTTCCGGACAACGTTCCTAAGCAGAGGCTCCCCAAATAAGTTTCCAAGCTGATCAAAAGAAAGTAGAAGTGGCCAAAATTTTGAAACAGCTTCCCATCTCGGAGATATGACATAGAAATAAAAGTGCTGAGAATGTTTCCAATGCCGAAAAGGAGAACTAAAGAGGGCAGAAACACCTCGGAAAGAACCATTCGCTTGACTCTCGATGATCCTTAATTCGTCGTACTTTTTCAATTGTCTCCGTAAAATTGTTGCTCGTGAAAATTTTGAAATTCTTGTAAATTTTGTCCACCTGAAAAGCACAGATGTAAATTTTTCACTTTAAACAAAGGGAAATTATTAATTGATGAAATATTTTCGCATCTCATCTCATTGGTCAAACTTAAAGTTAAGCTAAAATAATTTGTGATGTGATGCTATTCAAAATAGGACTCGCAAATCGGATAAAGCTACTGCTT